CCCAAAAAAATATCCCAAATAAAATTCTAAATCCTTTACCTTGTACTGGAATTTGTTGGTTTCATCCTCATCGTGAACAGTCACAGTCAATATAGGCATTTCAGGAAGATTTGTGCCATCAGTTTCGTCGACTTCTGTAAACCATTCGTCTTTGGTAAATTGTGGAGGCATGTCGTTTATATCTTTGACCCTTATAGAAGCCGTCCCTGTCCCTTTTAACCCTCCACCATCCATTGCGACCACTTGTATGGAATAATCAGGAGTTCTTTCTCTATCCAGACAACACACCTGGAATAATAGATAAATTAGAGCAAATTATGGTCAATTCTGATCTGAAGTTTAGAAGTTGGTGAGATCAACATCGGTCAACTTACCGCAGTCTTGATAACTCCAGTATCGGACTCAATTTCGAAGATCGGTGAACCAGTTTCTTCCTCAATGACATTTTTTTCGATAGAATACACCAATCTGGCATTTGTGCCTTCTGATGATCATCATAATCGACTGCAGACATTGTCATCACCACCATACAGCTGTACCATTTTCAGTGACGTTGCCGAAGTACACACCTGGGTAAAAAATTAAAAAATATTCCTTTATTTTGCTATTTTAAAGTATACCGAGTTGTAGGAGGGTTGTATATTGTTAGACAATATTTTGATTGTACATTTGTGTATAAATCTGTCATACACTTCATTCATATTAATCGAATGTTTTAGAAGTTATGAGGGATATACAAAGTGATGCACATGACGATCATAAATAGATGATAATTGTTTTATTTTGCAATTTAAGTCTCGATAGAGTTTTTGTAGGGCAATATGATGTTAGACAATATTATAGACTGTACATTTGTGTATAAATCTGTCATACATTTTATTCATATTGATCAAATGGTTTGAAAGTTATAGGTAATACACTAACTCAATGCATAAATTAATCTAAGTATACTCTTCTTATGTAAAATCTAAGGTATATCTAGATAATTAAAAATTTATTTTGCAATTTGGGAGTATACCGAGTTGTTGGAGAGCTACATGATGTTAGACAATATTATAGACTATTCAATTTTGTAAAAAAAATTCAAATACATCATTGATATTAAACAAATGGTTTAAGAGTTATAAAGGATATACAAAAGTGACGCACCTAACAAAACCAAGTAGTAGACTAATAGATGATTATTGTTTTATTTTGCAATTTAAAAGCATACCGAGTTGTTGTAGGGTATTATGATGTTAGACAATATTATAGACAATTGCATTTTGCATAAATCTCTCATACACTTCATTCATATTGATCAAATGGTTTGAAAGTTACAGGTAATACACTAACTCAATGCACAAATTAAATCTAAGTATACTCTTCTTATGTAATATCTTAAGTATATCTAGACGATAAAAAATTAATTTTGCAATTTAGGAGTATACCGAGTTGTTGTAGGGTTATATAATGTTAGACAATATTGTAGACTGTACACTTGTGTATAAATCTGTCATACACATCATTCATATTTATCAAATGGTTTTAGAGTTATACAGGATATACACAAGTGATGCATCTAATAAGGCCTAATAAGTGACAAATAGATGATTAGTGTTTTATTTTGTTAGACAATATTGTACTCTTTCAATTTTTTTTATACCTCTATACGCAAATTTTTTTAAATATATTCTTGGATTACATATTGAGAAATAATTTACTAAATTCACAACAATTTAGCGCGAGGAAGTTTTAAGAATTTTTCAAAATTTGTTGCAAAATCTAATTGTACCATACGAAAATATTGTGATCTTTTTCCACTCAATCGTCGATTGAAAAATAAAATTCTGTTAACCGAATATTTTTTCTTATTAAATAGCAAAGTAAACATATTAAAGATTATTATACTAAATGTTTAACAGTTTACTACAATTAGTTTAATTTTAAAAAAATTGGTAAAAACTGATTTTATCAAATATCAAATCTAGTTGTCCTGATTACAATATCGTGAACGTTTTCTGCTGAATCATCGTTTAATATAATTTTTTCTATTATGAAAGTAATTTTTCTTAACAAATATCAAAATAAATATACTAGAGATTAACATACTTAAAATGTAACTATCTGCTATCATTAGCTTAATTTAAAAAAATGTTGAACATTGATTTCAAAATTCTATTTGTGAGGCGACAATACTGAACTTTTTTCAGACGATCGTAATTTTATGAATTTTTTCCCATTGTGTAACTGAATTTTTTTAATAAATAACAAAAAAGACATACTAAAAATTAACATACTTAAATTACAACAATATACTACAATTAATTTAATAATAAGAATTTTAAAACTGATTTTATCAATATTTATCAAATCTATTTATACAGACGACAATATAACGGAGCCAAGTAGATGACAAATAGATGATTAGTGTTTTATTTTGCAATTTAAAAGTATACCGAATTGTTGTAGGGCAATGTGATGTTAGACAATGTTGTTTATCGTTTAATTTTGTATGGATCCTTCATACACATTATTCATATCAATCAAATAATTTAAAAGTTACAAATCACAAACAAAAGTAATACACATATACATAACAATCTAGACTACATTTTCCATATCCAATATCAATTTACCTTGTGGAAATATAGGAGCATTATCATTGATATCCTTGAGATTAACTTGGACATCAGCATAGCCAACAAGTCCTTCACCCCCCTCGTCCTGGGCAAAAACTGTGAAACGCCACTGGGGTCGTCCGTTGGGCTGATCTCTATCTAAAGGCTGTAAAGGAAAAAAATAAATATTAGTTTTCAAAAATTTCTCAGGGTACGATGTTGTAATTTGGATATGTCAAAACCAGAAGCGTATTTTAGGTATAGAAATTATAAAATTGAAGTAAAACTTCTCAGGGTGCGAGAAATTTAGGAAAAACATGGATAATGTATACTTGATGTAATCCTTGTAGTTTCGCTTAAAATATACAAAATATCCCACTGATACTTGAAAATGCAACTTACCGACATGTCGGAAAATTTATTACATATAATTTACACCTAGTTTTTATTATCTCTTAATAATTTTGAATATTTAATCCGAAATTGTAGACGAACAAGGGAAATAGTAATTATTGTTCTAGTGCATCTATATGACGATGTTTAATTCCAAAATGCTAAATGTAGCTAAAATTACAGTTTGTACAGCGAAATAGCGAAATAGACTATCTATATGCAATATCTGGCACTCTAATAACCACATTTACATATTTATGCACAAACATACATATGCACGTATGCAATATATCAAAAGACATACATACATAGAAAGTTGTGAGTTTGCTAACAGTTTACTTAATTATTATTAAAAATAAACAAATTTTGTAGCAAAATTTAGTGCAAAGTGAATGCAAAAATAACAATGAATACATACATATATATGTATGTATCTATATATCTGTATTTGTATCGATATTTGCCATCATAAATTTTTATCGTTTCGCATTCTACCGGAAAGTAATTTTTGCAACGGGCTCGTCGCAAAAAAGCACTGAATATCAATTTGTATTCACGATTATATGGGGACAACGTATATACACAGTCCGACATTGGGGGCCATTGAATAATTATTACTTTTTACGACAAACACAAAAAAAATACAAACAATACAAACCGAAAACAAACACCGGGAGAGACACGCAAAAATCATGGAATTCGGCCGGCAAAAAATGGATTTGTAAAAATATTGAGTTGGTAAATTTTTTTGAAAGGAATATATGTTATATGTAGTATTGCATTCTCTAGCTATGCTCCCCATAGCTTATTGAAAAAATAAGTATTCTGAAAATTTCAATTTTTGACTCGAACATAAATTTATATTTTTTTACCCAAAATCTCTGTATGAATCTCTATAAATTTATAAATTAGAAAAATAATTATTTAAAAAAAAACAATGTACTCAACTTACATGTTTTTAGTGTAAAGTTTTATATTTTCTTTATTTAGGGTCGTTAAAAGTTTTCATAAAAATCTCTTCGATGTATAATAGAGTAAATATAATAAAATCTTCTGAAACTTTTTCAATTTTTTTATACTAGTATATGTAATTATTTAATAATTTTTTAGATTACATAATAAAAAAGAATTTGCTAAAGTCACTTCAAGGTTTGAAGCATTTTTTAAAAATTTGTTGCAAAGTCTAATTGTATCATATGAAAATATTGTGATCTTTTTTCACTCGATCGTCAATTTAAACAATTTTAATAAAACTTTTTAATAAAACAATTTTAATAAACAAAGATTATTGTTTGTGTGACTAATTTTTTTTAATGAATAACAAAATATACATACTAGAGATTATGTAAAATTTGAAACAGTATACTACAATTAGTTTTATTTTAAAAAATTATTAAAAACGATTTTATCAATATTAATAAAATCTAGTTGAACCGAAGTCAATATTATCTTTATTCAGTCGATTATAATTTTGTAATAATTTTCCCAATAAGAGACTAATTTTTTTTTTAAATAACAAAACAGACATACTAGAAATTATTATACTTAAATTGCAACAATATACTACAAATAGTTTTATTTAAAAAATTGTTAAACTCGATTTTATCAATATTAATCAAACCTAATACAGATGGCAATATAGTGACTTTTTTCAGTCAATCGTAATTTTAATTTTTTTTTCTCACTACGCACCTAATTTTTTTTATAAAATCTGTAAACAAACATATTGGCAAGTAACATATGAAAATTTTCAGTAATTTATCACAATTAGTTTTATTTAAAAAAAAATCAGTCAAATATTAGTTATAAATTTATATATGAGTTTCCTGCTGAACCCAATTTTGATTCAATCATCAACAACGAAAATAATTTTATAAATCAATATATATATATATATATATATATATATATATGATTCTTTTCGAAAAATACATATTACTGTTCAAACAATCAATATATTGAAAATATTATATTGAATATATATATATATATATATATATATAAATTATTCAATTATTTTATTAATTCGTTAACCAAACAAATAACAGGCCATTCGAATAATTTTTAATCAAAAAGCACAACATACAGAATTTTACGAGCTCGTGCCGACTATTCATCAAATCTATTTTTTCTAAAAGAATAAATTTAATTTTAATATTTGTTTGGTTTCGAATAATTACAAAATATTCGGAATTAATATCACCAGAGATTAAATGTTGCAAAAATAACCGAATGGTAAATTGCAATATATGGAATTACGGATTAGAGGAATTAAAATCGATACTATAGAAAAATAATAATAAAAAATCATCCAGTAGTTAAAAATCGTTATGAATATATTGAAAATTAATTTAATTATTTTGTCAATAAATAAATTGAATAATTTGCTCAAATCAAATAGATAAACAATAAATCTGCATATTATATCATATAGAATTATTTAATCATTTTCCATACGAGTCCTTTGGTTTTGTGGTCTTTTTGGTATAGATTAATTAGATTTTTGTCCAAAAATAGGTCACAGAATCGCATATACATATATATGAGAACGTTATATAATTTCTGTGTCGGAATTTCATGATTAAATATTTGCTAAATTGCAACGTTTATTGCCGCTCGACGTACATACACGTTCAACGTTTCTGACTAGGAATTTGACGAATAATTATACATATATACATATAAATACATATGTTTGTATATATATAAAGGGCTATTAATAAAGTCTGTAAAATATAGGCTGCACTAATCAAGCCTACTGGACAATTTATAGTGAACGAAAATTGCCAAATAATTAGTGCACTTATTCACGACATAATTTGTAACTTCTAAAGTATTCATTTATTTGGTATAAAATACAAGTATGTTTGAAATTAAATGCACTAAAATATGTTTTTATATAAAAATAACCTACAGCAACTCGCTGTATTTTAAAATCGTATCCAAACATAAAGATTTTATTAGAGCATTCTTAAAGTGTAAGAAGTTGATATTTGGCATGTAACTTTTAAACAGTTTGTCTAAAGTGATAGAAGTTTTAAACAAATTTGTTTTAAATTTAATAGTTAATAATTTTTTATAATATTATAATGTGCTACAGCAACTTGGTATACTTCAAAATCGTATCCAAACATAAAGGTTCAATTAGAGCCTTCTTAAAGTGTAAGTAGTTGCTATTTAATTTATAACTTTTGAACCGTTAGTCTAATTTATATGGAATATTTGTCAAATTTTTACTAAATTAAATAGTGAATAAATCTTTTTAATAATATAATGTCCTATAGCAACTTGATATACTTTAAAATCGTATTCAAACATGAAGATTCAATTAGAGCATTCTTAAAGTGTGAGTAGTTGATATTTGGCTTGTAACTTTTAAACCGTTAGTCTAATTTATATGTTATATTTGACAAATTTGTATTAAATTTAATACTGAATAAATTCTTATAATACTATAAAGTCCCACAGCAACTCGGTATGCTCTAAAATCACTTCCAAAAATATCAAATTAATGCGAACCCTTAAAAGTTCTAAACGTCTCCAAAACTTGGCGTATGCAAATTTACTTGTTGATATAGCTTAGTTATTAAAACTCTGATAACTTTTAAACCTTTGGTCTAATTTAGTAGAAATATTCTATAAATTTGTACAAAATTAAACAATCTATAATATTGTCTAACATTCCAAGATTCTATAGCAACTCGGTATACTTTAAAATATCAATCAAATATACACAATAATTACGAAGGTGTTTGAAGTACCGTTATTTATTCAATTTAGTGTAACTTTTGAACCAGGAGTTTAATATAAGTAAAATATTTAGAAAATTTGTACAAAATTAAATTATCTATAATATTTTTCGGTATATTTAAAAAAGTCAATCGAAAATAGACAATTGATATAAACACATAAATTGATTGGGCATTAAGAGAGATTTTATTTTTGTGTATGTATGAATGCATATGTATATTTTTATTGAATGGTAGAGTCTTGGATTTGTGTATATTTTTTGTAGAGTTTCGAACAAGAATCCAAAAATAATTTTAAAAGTATATTTTTATGTATATGCATATGTGTATGTCTATTACTATATTCTTAACTACCTTTAGGTTAGTTAACAACCCTACACCCCGTTCATTTAGGGGTTGCAATCTCTCCGGGCGGTACTTTAGGTTCCCATCAAAGGTTTTGCATAAATTACAAAATCCGTCCATTATATTCCAGTAGCGGCGGCTGCTATGGTCTACTATCTGAATTGTGCTTTTATGGTTCGTTATTAATTAATTAATGGTGTTCTCCAATCAACGATTACTACACCCCGACGCCGACGCCACTGGGAACTGATTGAATTTTAAGTTGAAAGCTTAGGGAACAAAAGTACCATGAAAGGGTTGTTGGTATTAGATTAAGATATGTTTTATACTGTAATTTGGGTTAAAGATGGGGTGAAATATTATTTTTATGGTATTATACTTAAATTACAGTTTTTTTGGTACGGGTTTTAGTGTACTATTTATAGTAATAATATTTTGTTTAATTTAGACCTACGGTTTAGAAGTTACAAAATAACAAATAAATGTACTTTAAGCGCTTTCAAAATAAGTATCTATTTTCGATTATTATTTTAAAGTATACCGAGTTGCTGTAGAGCTCTGATGTGATAGAAACTATTATAGATTATTCAATTTTGTGTAAATTTTCAGAATATTTTGGTTATTTTAGACTTACGGTTCAAAAGTTATAAGACATTTAATAACTAAATGCATCAACAAG